TACTACAATTTACAAAGAATAGCTAGTATGTTTAAAATATTAATCATACATATATATATATATATATATATATATATATATATATAACTAAACTATAAAAAAATTAATGATTAGAAAATTATATTTAATTTAAAGTATTTACTTATAGTAACTTGGCAATTTAAAACTGAGATTGATCAAAACATAACATTTTTCAATATATGTTTATGATTCACGCTGTTAAAACTTTGTAAACTTAGTTTATACAATAATGCACTGTGATAATAAGTAATAAAAATGTACGTAACTTTGTTTTAATTACATTAAATATTAAATTATTATTCTTGAAACTAAAAACATAAAATTGCATAACTTTGTTGTTATAAAATTGTTTTTGAATTGTTGGTAAAATGTTATGAAATCATATAAGAACTTCTCTTGTTTTATTTTAATCAAAAATATTAAAAATAAAAAAATATTAGGAATAAAAAGATATTAGGAATAACTATACATATTAAAAGAAATTATTAAAAATGTTAAGAATAAAATAGTTATAAAACATAAACATGTTGTTCAACTACTATTGTGCAGTGTTCGTCCCATTTTTTTATGCATCTTTTCTCATTATCTTGTTTACCCCCCGAGGCATTGGTTAACCAAGTTTTTATGGTTTCCTTTCCAGATAACCAAGCGTGATATAGCATATTGTGCAAATAAATGCATTGTATGTGTTGTTATATATTTGCTGTACGTTTGCTGACATTACTGACATCAAAATAGAATATGTTATTACGAATGCAGCTACATGTCTGCGTATACATGCAATTAGTTGACGGAATTTCAAGAGCGAACAGTTCGCAATACTGATATGTTACGTTGTCTACAACAGGATAGCAACATGACAGCAACAAATAAGCGAGTAGCAAATTGTTGCTGACACGTTGCAATTAATTTGCTGATATTATAATTAGAATTCTATGTGAGTTTAACTTAACAGACACTATGTTGTCTCACCTTGTCTCTAGTTTGTCAAAATTAGTTGCTAACGGTTGTCAGCAACATGACAGCAACCTCACTGCATTTGGCTATATGGGTCTGCTTCAAAAGGGGCTGTATCATCAAATTTGATCAATAAAGAACCTAAAACAATTACATGAATCATACTCTAAAATAAAACAAAATATAATTAAGAAAAGTATCTGTTCTGATATGATCACGTTGATGGTGATTAATTTTATTTCAGGAAATTAAATAATCATATAATTGCGTAATACATATAACTTTAAAATTGTATAAAAATATTACGCAATTATATGATTATTTAATTTCCTGAGATAAAATTAATTAACATCAACGTGATCATATCAGAACAGATACTTTTCTTAATTACATTTTGTTTTATTTAATCGTATGATTCATATATTTGTTTAAGGTTCATTATTAATCAAATTTTATGATACAGCCCTTTTGAAGCAAATAGTACTATTTGACATAAAAAATTTGAAATTTTAGGCCTCAAAATTCGACACTCTATAAAATGGGCGAAAAAACACGTCTTTTTGCTATCACTCTTTTATATACAGATATTTAAATAAATAAAATAATTACAATTTAATATACATTTAAAAATAATTAATAAATAAACAATTGACGTTATTTGACTTTTGCTGCGCATCAATTTACTTCTTATTTACGGTATTTTTAAAAATTTAAAGACTTTATTTAAGCATTAAATATCTAAAAAACAGTCAAGATTATTTTATTATTTCGCTGCTAAATTGGTCAAGCTATCGTCAGAATAAGTTTTAATGATTTTTTGTATATAGTATGTAAAAGTTATATATGTATAGTTCCATATAATATAGTAGGCGGACAGTTTCTCGCAAAGCTATCAATGACTCGACGCCCTCCGGCGTAGTCTCATCTCTTCTTCCGTGCAATTATATCTTGTGCATTCTACCTGAAAAAGTAAAAGCCGGATATATATAGTGATATAATATTGATTTTATCTAGTGAGATAACTAGAATTCAATAAGTGCACTCGTCAATATTAATATTAATAGTGCTAAAATCAGATCGCCCTTTCGAGATTTTGCTGAGAAATAAAATAAAATAATTTAAGATCAATCAAAATTAATATTGGAATTCCATGTAAAAAAATTTAAATTCCATTAAAATAATTTAATTTTATTATATTTTGCTCTTGACACATTTTATTGCAATTATACAAAAGTAAAAGTATGTATAAATTTAATATAGCATTTTTTAATTATTGAAAATTTAAAACTTACATGAAAAATTATGAACACTAAATTTGATTATCTTGTAGGCATTTTTTTATAAAGACGTTAACCGACGATGAGATTAGCTGATTTACGTGTTTTGTTTGTCGACCTCGTGCCGGGTACTTATTTATTTGTAATATTTATTATTGAAAGCGTTCTGAGCGATCCTTTGTTTGTCGAGAAAACCGAAAACACATCTCTGCGCGATGAACGAAGGTAATTCTGATTGGTCCGATGTTTCGGGTAGGGAAGGTTTTAACACCGGGTATAAATATGCCGACTTTTTGGGAATCGACAGACAATAGAGAACCGAACAGAACAGATCATATCTCTCTTCTTCGAAACATCGAACGACGGCGAAAACGGCAAGATACGGCTCTGAAGAATTGTCGACGTGAAGACGTGTAATATTCACAATTGCACATTATACATACATATACATACTATCATTTTGCGTTGGAATAAATTAAACCTTTGGCCTATCCATTGAAACACGATATCCTAATCGAAACGGTGAGAGAAACATTCTATTTCTCTCTCTCACGCCCATCAGACGCCTACAATCTAATTACTCGAAAGTATATTCTTACGTGAAATAATGAGTGGAAAGATGTTTGCATTTGTGTGTTCCGTGATTCTCCTCGTCATTTCGGCTTCAAAGTTGCAGCAAAATTCCACCAACAGAGATAATAATTTGACGATACGATCCGAGATAAATGAGGATTCTACAACAAATTATAACGACGAAATAATAACACTTCGACATGATTTGCATAAAAATTTATGAATAATTCACAAAATGACAAAGAATTTTATACAAACGACAATCGCGAGAATAATGATTTGATTCAACATAAACGTTACAAGCATTTAATGCAGAATAAAGATGATGAGCAAAAATCGATGAAATCTAACATGAATTCGACAAATGTCAATCATAAAAGGAATTTCACGCCGCAGGAAGTTCATGAAAACGTAATTGAAAAGAATGATGACATGTCACTTGAAGTCTTCAAAAATTCCAGCAAAGATGCTAATGAAACTAACATCGTCCCAAACAAAATGTGTCATAATGATACTTGCATTCGGTTCTGCTGTTTTCTTGGCAATCGTCTGGTTGATGACAACTGCATTCCTGAAAAATTGAATACATTTTTCCAAAAGTATACACAAATCATTCGACGCAGAGCGAAAAAAAAGTAAACGAATCGTTTCAGCTGTCCATTTATGATTCGTGCCAGGAAAATCACGTTCTGATTCCCGAAGGTTTTCAGTACGATTATAAAATTTTTACCAACGGTTCTATATATTTAACTGATTATAAAATATTTATTGAATCGACATCATACTGTTTCGCCATCGTCAACGGAAATAAGTTTCAAGTAACCATCTGTTCCAAAACATATGACAAAGTCAAGGACATAATTGATAAAGAGTCCTTGATTCCTTACAAAGATATTGTGAAAATAAGTGGCCTTATAGTATCTATATTACTTTTGGGGTCAGTATTTCTGATGTATTTCATATTGCCAGAACTTAGAAATAAACACGGCTTCATGTTGCGCAATTATAGCGGTGCCTTGTTTGTTGCATACGGAATTTTGATTGTGACTATTAAGATCAAATCGGATGATGTACAGTATCCCGTCTGCGTTACAATAGGTAGAATATATATCTAAATCATTAAACTATGCAATCAGTATAGCGTATATATATTTATCAGATATTTAATGTATATTAAATATTGCATAGGTATTAAATTTGCATTTTGCACATTAAATCTTTATTAATAATTTTAAATGTTATTTGAATATATTATTTGTTAAAATTTTAAAAATGCAAAACAGTGAATAACATTTAAACTTTATTTAAATGCATTTTAATATAAAATTAATATAAGTTATTTGTCTCAAATAGATATATTTCTTTGTGTTTTTGAATTTTGCAGAATTACATATTGATGTAATTCTGCAAAATTCAAAAACACAAAGAAATATATATATTTGAGAATATATCTATTTGAAATATATCTATTTGATTCAATAATCAAATAACACGTTTAATTTAATATTAGCAGTATTTATTACTTTAAAAATTACTATAAAATTTAGTGTAGGTAGTTAAATTAAATCTATTTTAATGGAGAAACATAAATGTGATAACTTTGAGATCCTGCAATTTTAACGAATATTTATAAATAATATGTTATTATTTATTAATATTAATATTTATTATATATATTTTATTATAAAATATATTATTATTATTAATAATATAGAAATAAATAAGAAGCTGCTAGGAAATAGATCAAACAAGCAACGCAAAGTAATTAGGTCGCAAATACAAAATTTCTTTATTTAATATAAAAAAATATTTTTATTAAATTGTTATATCCCTAAAAGATATAACTAATAAGGTATAACTATTCATGTTACATCCGCTTGAAGACGGGCACTGACCGCGTAAAAACGCATACGCTGCGAGATACACGCGGAACCGAAATTGCCCAAGTGCAAGCAAAGCAGAAGGACTTTGAATTTACTTCGCTTGCATCTAGGTCCTTGACCAAGGGGGCCCGTTGCCAGGCACCCCTTCCGATCAAGAAACTTTCAAAAAGCGATACTATAAAAACGGAGCAGGAGACGCGCCCGGCAGTCGCTCTCGAGTTGTTAATTAAGAGTAACCTCGCTAACCGCGTGCGATCTATAACATCTTATCGCAGTCTGTTAAGAAATAATGCCAGTCATCACGATGTCAAAACGGCGGCTTGACAAAGCGCAGGAAAACCTCTATTATAGTTTTTGCATCTCTCAACGAGTAGCGCTGTTCACGCTTCTTCTCGCTCGAAGGCCATCTTTGCTTTGCCGTGAGTCGTGTCGTGAGATTGGTGGCCATCTTGATTGATGCTTTTGTGTGTAGTGTGTTTCCGAGGAGCTCTTCTTCACTGGCTTCTTATCAGAGGCTCTTCTCAAAGCCAGTACAATCATTCAGACCACGAGCTCATATTTCAAGAAGTCTTACTCGACGGAAGGCCTTTTATGGAAATCTCGTAAAGACTGAGGATCCTGGGAAAGTGAAAATTCTCGAGAGAAGTGGCCTACTGCGCACTGAGCGGATCTCACAAGGATCATTCAGATTTTTCATTCGAGGCGAGCACGAGGGCTTCTGGCTAGTTAATCTCGTTTTCAGATTAAGTATTCAGTATTTTTTCTACCTCCTTAGATTCAGGTAATATTTCTAATCTAAGGAGATTAATCTGAAGAACATCGGATGCCCATCTCATTTGTTTTACAAGTCAGTTTCTTTGTTTTCATTTAGTGACGTGATTGTTCAACTTGAAATCACTGATTGGCTTTCAATCCTGAGGTCCTGGTTTTGATTCTAACTTCTGGATTTGAGAGTCAATATTAAGAGTGTATTTTTTTTTTTTTAAATTTACGCTTAAGATGTTTTATTATTTTTATGTAAATTATTTTTAACTATAATACTCTATGTATGATATAAGTCTTTAAGTATTTAAATCTTTAGATATATATATTATAAGAAGTTTTTAGTTGATGAAATGTTTGTTTAATTTGAAGTCACAGATTCTTCTTTATATTTGTTTACGTTAAGATTTTTATTATTATTATTTTTAGTTTAACGTCAACTGAGAATTATTACTAATTTCATTTCTTTTACTTGAAAAACAGTTGACTTTGATACAGACTATTAAAATTTGTATTATTTTGATCTCAACAAGACTCATTCAATGGTGCGACAATAGTCTTTATAATAAATTGTGAAACATTACACTTAACAAAACATTTCTTGTGATTTTAAGGAATCCCTGTCTTTCTGTCATCCAACTGAGTTCCTCGGTTTATAAAATCATCTCTGGTTTTATAACACAGTCGCACGCGCGATTCACGAACTCATACGTAATCGCTTCCTCTCAACTAGTTAAGTAACTACAAAGTGTAATATTGTGAAAATAAAGATAACGTCAAGTGTTTAGTTCAAATAAAAGCTCTTTAATAGTGAGAACGTGAAGTGAATTAATACAATAACCCCGATCCAAGGCCTGATGCCCCGGATCCTCATCCTAATTTGGCGCGACCCGAGGCACACAATAAAATAAAGTTGTATTTGCGACCAAATTATACTTCGCGTTGCTCTTTTGGCCTATTTCCTGCTCCTTATTTATTTTTTAACTATAAGAGCAAATTACATATTATATTTATATTTATATTTATAATATTGTATACTATTATTATTTATTATTAATTATTAATTATTACAGCCTTTAATTTTATTCATTTTACAGCTTTTTTAACGTACTTTTGTTTTATGGCGGGTTACTTTTGGCTAAATATAATAAGCTTTGATATGTGGTACACATTCAAGTAAGTTGAAAAATATTCTATATTATTACTACTTATTTTTAACACTTGACTATGATTTATCTTTATGAAATTCTTTTTTTAATTTACATATACCGGTTTAAATATAAAGATAGAGAATATATAATATGCAAAAGGTTGTATTAATAAAATTTTCTTATATATTGTGTTGGTACGTGCAAAAACAATTATATTATACTTAGGACATTATAAATTAGAGTATAAAGATAATAGGTTCAAATTATAATTTAGAATAAATAGTTTTTTGAAGATTTTTATTAATTAATTACAGATTTTTAAACGGTTAATTTTTTAAGAGTAAAAATGTAATAAGCATATTATATGTTTAATTTAAATATGTTGACACTGTCGTGTCTGCATGATAGTTATGTAAATATACACTCCTTAATATAATTAAGGCATCAAAAAAAGAAAACAATTGTTCAAAAATAGACAAACTTTAAAAAGAGTTGTAACGTTGTTTCGAATAATGAGAATTTAAATTAAAAAAAAGTTTTCAAGCTTGAAATCTCTACTTTCAATGGTTTACAGTTTTTTTCATTTTTTCATTCGTTTCAATTCTGATATTTTTTATATGTAAAAAACAAAAAACATAACGAAATGGAAAATTTTTTTTTCACTTTGTAGACTTGTCGCATGCACACCAAAATTTTAAAAGTTTCTTGACATTTCCATATTACAGCCTGAAGTTTTCCCTGCAAAATTGTTTTTTAAAATGTAAATCGATCTTTCCTTATCAAGTTATCGCAAATTGAAGAGAAAATGTCATTTTCAGTTTAATCGTTCATAACACCGTTAAAAATCATCGTAGCAATTTTAAAAATTAATTCTTTAAGCTGAATCTTTGCTTTATAGTATAATATAGTGACGTGATCAAAGACAGATTATTTTAACGTTTTTACATTTTGATTACTTTTATCTATTATTTGTTATATATGTAAATTGCAGAGGATTCTGTTCATTACAAAGAAACGTCAGACAACGAGAAAAGAGAAAGCTGATATATTATACGATCTTTGCGTGGGGATGTCCCTTTATGTTTGCTATTTTCTGTGTCAGCATGGATTTTCTTCCCGCGTATGTAAATGTACCACCAATTTTGCGACCGAAATTTAGTTTAGGAGATTATTGCTGGTTCAATGGTAAGTGAAGATAACTTTATTAATGCTATAGCATTCTAGTATTGTGAGAAACAGTATAAAAACTCATGATATTTTATACTTACAGAGGCTGGTCCGTATTTGTTGTATTATCATGGGCTCAGAAGTATGTGCATCATCAGTAGCATTTGTTTATCTATTTCTACAGCATTAAAAATTATGCGTTTCAAAAAGGATACGAGTCTTTGTCTGAAAGATTCGGAGAACAATTGCTTTAACAATAATAAGAAATGGTATGTATTCAGATATCTTTGCATTAAGATATGATAATCTATTTTATTACTAAAATTTATGCTACTTATATTAACATTTATGCAAACAGGATCGCATAATAGATTGTTTCGCATATTTTTTTTATAAAAGGGAGGAATATGCCGGTATTAATAATTAATATTGCGATCGTATATTTTATTTTAAGTCTGAGCTTGATTGATTGAATGGTCATTTTAAGTCAGGATGAGATTTAAAATAATATTAAATATATATTCAGATTATGAATACTAGTCATAGATTGTCATTTGCAGATGACATATTTTCTATTCGCTGATTCACTTTTTTTTATTTTGTAATGTTTTTAAGAATATATCATGACTGCTCCGGTATTTCACAAAAATTAAAATTTTAAACACTTTCAAAAATTTCTTAAGGTTTATACATCAATTAAATTTTATTTTCATCATATATATTCACAAGAACTTTGAAAATTATGTATTTATTTGCAGTTTTAATCTATATCTAAAACTATTTATCGTGCTGTTTATCTTATTAGGCATAAAATGGCTCATGATAACAACGGATGAATTATCTGAAAATGTATCAATTTACAACTACTATGTTTTTGTTTTGCTGGACATTATGCAGCATCTATGCACCTTTATCATATTTGTGTGGAAAAAAAGGATCAAGCGCATATTATTCAAGCGATTCGGCTGCGGTTTGTTGTCAAAAGCTCGATCCGGATAAAATGTAACATTGTCGAACATTATTATACCACATCAAATGGAATAGTAAATCAGGAGAAGATGATTTTTTCCGGACGAGGAAGAAGTCACACTGATATGACCGACCATTAATTTTTATTTGAAATTTAAAATCATGTTTATTTATGCTGTTTTTTTATGTTTAAGGTTAATAATTATAATTCATACATATTTTCGGATTTCGTAGCAAAAGCATATTATTTTGTCTCGTTTCTTTTTCAAATTCAAATTATTTTTATCACTACCATCAATAATGAAAATTATCCAGATTATTGCAACTTAATATCAGAGATACTGTTCTCTCTTTTCAATATATTCATATAAATAAGGATCCCATGAATATAAAGACATCTCACCATAATTAAAGTATCCAACCTCAAAAGGGAAGATGTATTACGTTGTGAAATCATAACTATATAATTCAGCAATCTTGATCTTATTTCAAATCATTATATTAAACAATAATTTTAATAACAATAAACTAAATATAGCAAATAAATTATATAAAGAACAATTTCAGAAACGTACAGAAGCTAACAATAGAAATCACAGCATACGGCTACCGCTTTAAACTCTCTTGAATTGTCACGCGGAACGCCCCGATCTTGAGCGATAAGCAATCCCGTGCTGTTCGCACCTTCGACGTTGGATGCTGACACCTGCAAGTCGTAAAACTCGATGACCAATAAATCACGAATGCTCCTTAGATTTTTACGACTTATTCAAACTTATATTTTCTTATCGTCCGACATCTTATGACCATATTTGGTCAAAAGTCGAGCACGCTCGATTTCACAGAACTGTCAAATAACCCCTTTTTCTTACGAGATCAATTTATTATAATATCTTCCAGGAAAGCGCTTTTGTGGGAATTCTCCCACCCAAAAATTGCACACAACACCAAAATTTTTCGTTTTCCAGGGTATATAAACTCCTGAAAATCTGATCCAGGGGCGACATTACATCACAGAAAAGCCATAGCGGCATTACATCCTAGAAAGCCATAACGCCAGTACGAAATCAAGCCTTAACGTAAAGAGTACACGATTCTGTTAACGACACTTAGTAACTGCGTCATTTATATCTCGGCGTTTTTGTTCAAGTCACGGGTTAGTCGTCGACCTTGTTGACTTCTCAATTTCGTAATCGCTCAATCTGTAAGCGGGTTAAAAGACAAATAAAGAACCTTAGTGCATCGTACACCCTAGTGTTTGATTTCGCCATAAGCACTCCATGACCGAGGTCCTAGCGAGGAAGCGAAGCCGGCCAAGCACATTACAGATCAACGAAGAGTTTATCGTCTTATTGCTAGAAGTAAGAATCTATTAATTATATAGATCAGCTAACGCCCCCGCATTGCATAAAAATTCGAATAAAGTTTGAAGGTTTGAAGGTTGCGCCGATAAATCTTTCAATTATTATTTCCCATCAAAATTCCCTTACTCTTTGATCTTCTTTTTGCATTTGAGATTAGGAGCATGTAAAAGACACAATCTATATAGATGTGATTTCCCTCAGAACAGCCTCCTTATTAATATCCTCATATTAAAATAGATATTTTACTACTATTTTATAACGTACAGTAAATAAAACGCGAAAACGGAATATCGCACGTCGGAAAAAACGTAATCATAGAGCTGGTAAGAAAACTCGCGCTAACCGTGCCGCGTCAACTTTGCACTGGCTCAGGCGACAGTCATTTGACAATAAACCTCGCATAAAAATGTGTGAGATTGTTGCCTCTTCTCCAGGGACTATAAAAAGGTTAAAGACTTCATCCATTCAAACGGATTCCGACAATAAACCCATTACGGAAAAGAATTCCCCCAGACACGGAGATCGAACCCTCGATCGACGAACCACTTAATCTATTTAATTTAGGAACTGATTTCTTCGAATTATCACTATTCGCAGAACTGTGCGATCTAGTATCACAAGCAGAGGAGAATACCTCCCCGGAACAATTTTATTCTAATGATTTAATACAATTACTAAAAGATCGATCTACGGATGACTCATTTGAAATTGATCAATACGCTAGTTACCTAAATATTTAAATTATTCCTCTAATGTTACCCGAATGTACAATTGACGAAACTCACAGGTTATAATCAACGAAGAAATTTATACGATAATAAGCCTGATTATATTAATATATTTCTTTAATGTTTGCTATTTTTTTAAATTTAATTTATTAAAAAAAATTTTTTTGAATAAAATTGATAATTTTACAATTAGGTTTAAATTTGCACTTTTTTTTACATACAGTAACAATTTTTAAAAAGTTAGATGTATGTGTATGTGTATATATGTACTCACTCTTTTATATTTATTTCATGAAAATTTTGATTTCTTTGAAAATTCAAAATTTTATAATTCACTGATCTATGTTAAATTCAACACCAAATATCCTATAATTATACTTTATTCATATAAAAAGAATTTGCTCAATATTTCAAAATTTACGAAAAATAAAAATGCATATTTCTTAAAAATTTTTAATTTTATAAAAAATAAACTCTTTCACGGATCATTGCCAAACTCAATGTCAACCCTTCTTAAATGATAGTCTATTCATGTAAAAAAATTTATCTCCATATTTTAAAATTTATAAAAATTAGAGCAACAAAAGTCATTTTTTAAAAAATTCAAAATTTTATAAAAAATGAAGCTTTTCACCGAACCTTGTTAAATTCAATACCAACAATCCTTTAATAGTCTATTTATATTAAAAAATTTATCAAGATATTTTAAAAGTTATGAAAGTTAGAGTAACCACGAACATTTTCTAAGAAAATTCAAACTTTTATAAAAATGAAATACTTTATCAATTTTTCTAGAAATTACAGTAAATAAAAGTGTTATTTTACTTTACTTGTATGCCAAATTAGAGCGCTTCAAGTCAAATAATTTTTGAGATAAAAAAAAACACAAATGTAGGTGTGCATACACATCCGCACATACATATCCATTTTTTAAAAATATGATTTTTTGACACGTTTTGAAACATTCTAAACACATTGGTATAGAAATTTGAAAAAAATTTTTTTATCAAAACAGTTTCCTCTATAAGAAATAAAAAATCTAAAAAATTTGTCTCTTTTTTCTATTGGTACTTAGATAGCATTTATCTAAATATGTTATCCACTATGACTGAGTATTATTAAATTATATAAGTCATATGATTGTGTTCTAAACAAAAAAATTTTAGTATATTATTTATGAATTTTTATCCATGTTGTAAACCAAAAGTTTTAATATATATTATATATAGCTTAGTATTTGTACATTCACATTGTAAAACAAAAAAATATTTAATACATTACCTATGTTATTATTGAGTAAAATATATAAACTTTACTTTTTAATATAAATCTTATATATGGATATTTTTGCATATCACATAAATCTAGACTTAATTTAATGTTAATTAATTTAATATAAATTTAAGAAAAATTATAACTTTTGCAATTTAGAAAATATAATATTTGTTAAAGAATTATATCTGGTCAAAAATTTAAACAAATTTAATTAATCTCTCTTTTTTAAGTATTTTTATAAATTAACATTTCAAAAACAATATAGTCTGATATAGAAATATGCAAAATTAAAAAAATTATAGTGCTTCTAGTGTGAAATAAATTGAAGTCATTCAGTTAGAAAAGTAAAAATGTTGAACATATTTTGCTCTACATTAAGTTTTTTGCAATGACTCTGAAACTCATGTACCGTTTGTCTGTTTAATTGAAATTGTGTGTTTTTAATAAAATTCCGCATCATGCAACGTATCTTTTGATTTTCTGTATTTTATTTATTAACAAAAATATATTTTTCATTAAAAATTGTATTTTTGCTTCAAAAATTTTACAAAACGTTTTTTTTGAACATTTGATCGAGAGTATACCCCTTATTTAAGACTACTTAAAGCACATACAAAGAATATTAATAATTTATTTTAGGCGAAAAGCATCTTTTCTTGGAATTTCCTCTTTTTTACTCCCTTTTTATGAAAAAATTCCCCTATTTCTCTTTTTTTTTGAAAGCATTTTGCGCTGTGGAGCCTGCTATTATGTAAATGTTACGTTTCCAAAAAGTTACAGATAACGTTTATGTTAGTTGTTATTTCTCACTCGTAAATGTAACATGTAATGTTATGTTGCAACAGATATGTATATTCCATTAATGTAATATAACTTTCAATATTATATGTAATATTACAAATACAATGTTACATTGTTACCTAATATATATACGTATCTTTTAAGTTAAACTTAAAAGATGCATATATATTATATGTAATATTACATATAACATTCAAAGTATTATATGTTACTACCATGAGTGAAAAATAACAACTAACATAAACGTTACCTGTAACGTTTCGGAAACGTAACTTTTACATAATATTTGCCATACCGTGTTTACTGGTTAAATATATAAGATCCTCAATATTGCATTAATGAATTATGGAATTATAAATAATTATTCAGAAACCCTTTCACTACACGATAATTAAGACTGAGCAAGAACGTATGTACACCTAGACATAAATATTTGCAAAAATCGATTCGACGGTACGATAACAGGTAACTCGATCTTTACATACCTCTTTATCTAAATTATATACCGAACCTCTGAGAGATCCAACATCCAATGCTGGACCGAAAATACAGAAGGCGAATTTTCATATTACTTAATTTAATTTATAATATAAAACATTATTGTAAATTAGATTTCTATCTTTAAATTACAAACCGAATTTAATAATTATTAAAAGCGAATTTTTTGCAAAATAATATTGCACACTGAATAATAAGAGAATATAATTATTATTATAGTAAATTAATTTTTATAATGATTATCTAAATATTTCAATCTCAACATTTTTGCGAAAGCCTCTGAGATACACGATCTAAATACACTAGTGCAAATTAATAATAACAAACTTCAACATTTTATGAAAACATGTATTTCACGAAACTATTGTAAAATTTTTATTCAACGTCTCAGGCGAATTATAATTATTTTCTTCGCCGTTGTACCATCATCGTCGCTGTACCATCTACTTCGGGAGATAAGCCGAGTTCTTAGAAGAGCTGATCGATAAGTCGACTGAAATCTGACTCGATCCTTCTAAGGGTATATAAACCGCGACTTTTGCGCCCTGCGATCACTATTAGTCAAGCACTTGTGTCAAACACTATTAATCGATCTCTTTGTGACAAATCATCAATCCGTGTCAGACAAGCTAATTAGTCGTCTTCGTAGTCAAATATTATAATCTCTTTGGTACTTAAACTTCAGTTGTGCAAATCCATGTTGCGGACTTAAATTTTATTCACAAGTTAAAAAATAAAGAATCAAAGTGAATATTACATCAGTGTGCGTCTGTTTTACCAACTCCATTCTGAGACCGAGGTCCTGAAAGAGAGCGACAACGTTATCACCAATTACAATATAATACAGAAAATTCTCGTCTTCGTATGAAATCCAGTAAAAATAACTTTTTTAACTTTATTTATTCTTAGAGTCAGCTTAAATCTCTTATTCCTTAGTAATTAATTATAGTCAATTCTATTAACATAAATAAATCAATCAGTCAAATATATCAATCAAATATATCAGTCAAATATATCAAATCAGTCAAATATATCAATTCTATTTACATAAATTATAATAAAAGATACTATATGCAGGTAAGCATACCCCTGATGATGGGCAACCTTAAAAACAGACTTGTCCGTAAGAAAAAGCTTACTCGCCGATCTTTAAATAAGGAATATCAAGAGACACGGTAGTATCTCGCGACCAGTTAAGGGCGTAGCGGAGACACCGTGTATCTTAACGCGAGTCGGACATTTGAGTCTTTATAATATTTCGAATCCTCAATAATGGCTGAAGCAATCGAGTTTATACTAGACTTAATCGATAGATTGAGTTCGAATTATATAATAAAAGTGTCTTTATTTCTGCTCTACGTGATTTGTAAGCAGAGATATATAAATGCAAAGTCGAAATATGAAAAATTTCTATTAAGAAACGTCCCCGTCATCATTATCATCATTATCATCATCGACCACGCATACATAGTAGTATCGTGCTACACGTATTCACACGTATACAACACATGCGCACACATATATCACACGTACACAACACATGCAAGATGCATGTAGTGGTAATTTT